AATGGCCTCAGCCTAGCTCCGAGCCACACCTCCCGGCTGGGTTCCATACAGCCTGAGCTCAGAGGTGCAGGAAGTTGCCCCCGCTCTGGGGACACCACATCCTGTATCTGCCTGTCGACTGAAGACATCATCTACCCTCTCCATTGTCTCTCTCTCTCCTCCAGTCGTACCTCCCCCTTGCCCTGCTCACTTCTCTGTTCCATAAGTTTCCTGTCTTAGCCCCGTTCCCCGGAGGCAGAACCAGAGACAGGGATTCCTGTTTGTGTGATTCGTTAAGAAAGTGAGGGAAGCAGAATAGGGCAGAGAATAAAAGTCAAGACAAGACTATGGTCTCAGCTGGGGCACCTGGGCAGCTCAGGTTAAGTGTCCGACTTTGACTCAGGTCATGATCTTGTGGTCAGTGTGTTCGAGTCCTGTGTAGGGCTCTGTGCTGACAGCTCAGAGCCTGGAGCCTGCTTTGGATTCTGTGTCTCCCTCTCTCTGCCCCTCCCCTGCTCGTGTTCTGTCTCTCTCTCTCAAAAATAAACATTAAAAAAAAAAAAAAAAGGAGAATGTGGTCTCAGCTGAAGGCCAGCTTCTTTCTGATCCTACAAAAAAAAAAAAAAAAAAAAAAAAAAAGCAGCTCCGGAGCACAAATTCAGCACAAAGCAAATTCCACCTTGAGGCAAAGGGGTGGTGGGGCTGTGTGCCAATGGCTGAACTTGGCCTCTGGAGTGTGTGTCTATAACCTCTCAGGAGGCATGGCTTTTTTCTGAGTAAGGGCAGTTTTCAGGAAAGGGGGCATCATGAGTTATGAGCTGGTACTCACAGCAGCTGGGGACAGGTTAAGGCCATCTGAGTAGGACACAAAGAGAAATCTGTGTGGCTCTCCCTTCACAGATGCAAAAAGGCAGATAGGGAGGGGTGTGTGTGTGAGCGTGTGTGTGAAATTGAGAGAGACAGAGAGACAGAGAGACAGAATCCTTTCCCAGTCTGAGAGGCTGAGGGGAAGGACATTCTCTTAAATTCTTTTTTTTTTTTTTTAAGTTTATTTATTTTGAGACAGAGAGCGAGAGAGCAGTAAGAGCGAGGGAAGGGCAGAGAGAGAGGGAGAAGGAGAATCCCGAGCAGGTTCCTCACTGTCAGCACACAGAGTCCGACAAGGGGGTCGATTTCACAAACAGTGAGACCATGACCTGAGCTGAAGTCTAGAGCCTGACACTTAATCAACTGAGCCACCCAGGTGCTCTAATTCTTTTTTTTAATAGCAACTTTACTGGGGTATTAATTCACATACTACATAATCTATCCATGTGAAGTATACTATTGAGTGTTTTTTAGTTTATTCAGAGTTGTGAGACCATCACTGCCATCAGTTTTAAAACTTTTCATCACCCACCCCAACAAGATGTCCTCTACCTTCTATCGGTCACTCCCCATCTCCCACTAGCCTCTCCCCCGTGGACCGCCCCGCCCCCCCCCCCCCATGGAACCACCAATCTACTTTCTCTATGGATTTGCCTATTCTTAATGTTACATATAAATGGAATCATACAGCATGTGGTCCTTTGCGTTTAGCTTTTCTCACTTAGCTTGTTTCCAACGTTCATCCATGTTATAGCATGTACTGATACTTCCTTTCTTTTCATTGCTGAGTTGTAAACCATTGTGTGGATACACCATGTTTTATCCATTCATCAGCTGTTTCCCTCTTTTGGTTTTCTGTGAATATAGATTTTCATTTCTATATACCCAAGAGAGACACTGCTGTCTCAGCCAGATTACTCTTACACCATCCTGTAATGACTCCTGATGTCAAGCTCTCCAGAATTGTACTACGTCATACCCCTTCCCAAACTCGATTCTTCAGCCTACTCGCCCGAAAACCAGTGTGGCTTTAGTTCTGAGATTCCCTCCCCAGATGGACAAACTTGTCCCAAGGTCTGCGAGAATGATGGCTTGGTACTGGTGAGTTAAAGCCAGTTCTTCCCATTGCCATCCATTGGCTTCAAGATCCTCCAGACAATATGCCCCACTGGGTTCTTGTTTATGCTAGTCATTGTGCCCAATTCTCCTTTTCCTGGAGAGCTCTGAAGAGAAAGCATATTGGTCTTTTAGTGAAGCAGATCTGTGGAGAATGCAGAATTATAATCTAGAGCGGATTAGCAAACAATGGCCTTGTGGGTCAATCCCAGACAGAGGCCGGTTTCTGTATGGCCCACAAGCTAAGAATAGTTTTCACATTTTTGGGTTTTTTTTTGGTTTGTTTTATTAAAAAAATTTTAATGCGTATGTATTTTTGAGAGAGACAGTATGAGCAGGGGAGGTGTAGGGGAGAGAGAAGGAGACAGAGGCTCCAAAGCAGGCTCTGCACTGACAGCAGAGAGCCTGATGTGGGGCTCAAACTCACAAACCACGAGATCATGCCCTGAACTGGAGTCGGATGTCCAAGGGACTGAGCCACCCAGGTGCCTGGTTTTCACATTTTTAGATGGCTGGAAAGAAAAGAATAATGCTTTGTGCCCCAAGGAAATTATATGAGTTTCAAATTTTAGTGTCCATAAGTGAAGTTTTATTAGAACACAGACAGGTCTAGGGTGCCTGGTTGGCTCAGTCAGTTAAGTGTCTGACTTCAGCGCAGGTCACGATCTTGAGGTTCGTGAGTTCAAGCCTCACATCAGACCCTGTGCTGACAGCTCAGAGCCTGGAGCCTGCTTCAGATTCTGTGTCTCCCTCCCTCTCTCTCTCTGCCCCTCCCCTGCTAATGCTCTGTCTCTCTCTCAAAAATGAATAAACATTAAAAAAAATTTTTTTTAAAGAACACAGGTCTATTTGCTCAAGTAAAGTCTATGGCTGCTTTTGCCCTACAATTCTGCAGATGAAATTCTCCCCAGAGCATCTCTCCTTTAATTTTATTTTTTTAAGATTTTATTTTTTAAGTAATCTCTATACCCAACGTGGGGCTCAAACTCACAACCCCAAGATCAAGAGTCACATGCTCCACCAACTGAGCCAGCCGGGCACCCCACCATCTCCCCTTTAAGTGCTCCCCCTCAAAAGATGTTGCCAGGTATACGGTGCAGTTGATTTAAACTCTACTCATGTGCATGAAGCACGAACGGGTCCTAGCATATAGTGTTTTCCTCTAGGCTTGTGATGATAGTGTGTGGATGGGAGTTGTTAATTACTCTCTGGCCTAACTTACCTTAGGGGAGCGCTGACTCAGAGATTAAGGCTGGAGAAGCTCTTTCCAAGATCAACATCCCACACTGGCCTGAGTTGATTATTGCAGATCCCAGGGACTCTCAGCCCCTCCTGGGTTCAGGACCTAACCCGAACTGCACGCACAGCCTCACTCACAGCTGTGGACAGGAGGGGTTGCTGGGCTTCATTAGGGAGCAGTGTGGTTTCCCGAACGCTTCAGTCCTTGGGGGACATCTGGAAGGGAATCAGGCCTTCCTTATGCCAGTTGTTCAGTCCTTGGGGTATCTGAAAGAGAAGTAAGCACTTCTTAGATCAATATCTTCAAGGCCGAGCTGATCCAAGCAGAGGCACGGAGGCTTTGACTAGAGATTCACTATTTTTCCAGCTTCTCTCTCTCCAGGGTGGCTATGAACTTGAACCCTTATAATAAATGGCTTATATATTTTTTCCTCTTGGAAATTGTGTAAATGTGTGATTATGATGGGGGAAGATGGGAAAATGATAGATTTAAACCTGGACACCTGTGGGGCCCATTCTTTTACAGCTGAGTTTCTCAACCTTTTGTTCACTACTGCCCTCACTTAAGGAGCATTTTTAGACTATTTTTCCTAATCGTGAAATTTTAATGCTATGAAATTTTAATACCACAGATACACTATATATCTATTTATGCACTATATGTACATTTGTGTTTTATACATAAAAAGAATAGGATTTTTTGCCCCTTTGGGGGGATATGTGCCCTGCCGAGGACACATGATTTACAAATAGTTCATAACCACCCCCCTGGCAGCCTCCATTGTGTAAAAGCGGGAAGCAGGCAGTCTAGCAGGTGCTTTTAGGAGTGTGAGCTTATCATGTACACTGTGTTTCACAAAGTGCTTGGCTCATGGTGAGTACTAGAAAAAAGAGAGCCTTTGTTGTTGTTACCATGATTATTACATTAAGCTTGGTCACGGTGATGTTTGTAACCTCCTCACTGGACTGTGGATTCCCATGGTGTTTGAGGGCTGGCCGAGGTCCAAGGCCTTCCAGCCTGGAACTTCTACCAGGGGCACCACGGGATACATGAGGACGTGAACCAAGCCAGGTGGGGACTGTGCCCAGTGGACAGGCTGAGATGCCCCAATTACACATGGGACCTGTGCTCCAGGTACAGCCAAGGTAAGGGGGTCTAGTGGCTTCTTAAACTTGATTTCTCAGAAGCTGGGAACTGGATTTCTGGTTAAAGCTCCTGATTTTTAAGCAGTGACTCCATTAAGCATCAACAATTACGCTGTGTCGACAGAACAGAAGAGGTGCAACGCAGTCACACTGGCTTGTCCAGGGTTAACCGCATAGCTGAGGCCCCCATCCAGTCCTTCCACATCCAGTGATCTTCCCACTCAAACCAGCTCCCCTCATCCGCTCAGGACCCTTCCCACTCCACTCTTCTTCGGGGGTCCTTCAATGTCTCTTCTGCCCGGCCCTCCTGCCCAGGGAAGGGGCCCCTAGCTGGGACTGGGACAAATGGGTCCAGCTCCCCTCCCCACCCCCCGGCCCCCTTCCCAGAAGGACGTGGATTCTGTCTGTGGATGATAAGGTCGGAACCCCCAGCCTTACTCACCGGGAGCTGAGAGTGGGGGCCCTGCCCGGGGGACTCGCGTCGCGTGTCCCGCGGCGTGAGAACGCAAAGCTGGCCTGGCGGGCGTGGGGCAGGCGGGGCCCTGGCGACCTCACCACCTCGGGATGAAACGCCCCGTTGTTCGCGCCGCCCCTCTGACCCCGCCACCCCAGGCATTGTTTTCTGTTCGCCCGGGTCGCGGGTGGGAGGCGAGGCACGCGGGGGTTCCCGAGCCTGGCTCCGCGCCAGGCCTGCGCCCTTCGGCCCTGGGGCCACGGGGGCGGCCGCGCCCGGGAGCGGGAGGCTAGCGCGCGGGGCCGGGCGGCTCAGCAGGCACAGCCATGGGCTCCCTCGGCTCCCACGCCGCGCGCATCCCCGACGCGGACAGCATCCGGCGGGAGACCGGCTGTGAGCGGGGCGCGGGGCTCCGACCCGGGGATGCGGGGGATCCGGGGAGATGGGGCGGGCCCGGAGGGCGCCCGGGATCGCAGGCGCGGGCTCCCGGGGTCCAGGTCTGGGGCGCGTCCGGGCCCCGGGCTTGGCGGCCAGGTGTCCTCGAGTCCGACAGGGGTGTGGGGTGGGGGGGGGGCGGAGAGGGGAACAGGAGGGAGGCGGCTGGCGTCGGCTCCTCGGGTCTCCGGCGGGAGCGCGGGGACACTGCTCCGGGCGTCGTCACGCCCCCTGCAGCCCGGCCGCGCGGCCCGGGGTCCCCGGCGAGCGTCCCCTCCGGCGAATCCCGGTTTCCCGCCCACGGCCCAGGGCCGCCCGGGGAGGGTCCAGCGGCGGGTCCCGAGCGCCCGCGGCCGCGTCACCCTTCCGCCTTCCGTCCCGCAGTCTCGCAGGCCAGTCTGCTCCGCCTCTACCACCGGTTTCGGGCACTGGACAGGAACAAGAAGGGCTACCTGAGGTGAGGGGGCGCTGGCCTTAGGACCCGCCACGTCCGCCTCTCTGAGCCCCTTCCTCTCTTTAACCCTCCGTCTACCCCTCCGACTTTGACTCGACAGCCGCATGGATCTGCAGCAGATTGGGGCTCTGGCCGTGAACCCCCTGGGAGAACGCATTATAGACAGCTTCTTCCCTGATGGGTGAGGCCTCGCTGGGGGTGGGGAGATGGAGGGAAAAACTTGGTGTGTGTGTTGGGGGGGGGCACTAAAGAAGACAGAGGACAGAGGGAGGGCCAAAGCGACCACTGCATCTCCCCCACCCCAGGAATCTGCGTCTGGATTTCCCAGGCTTTGTCAGAGTCCTGGCTCATTTTCGCCCCATCGATGATGAGGACCCAGGAATTCGAGACCCCAAGGAACCTGAACCCCTCAACAGCAGAATGAACAAACTTCGCTGTGAGTTTGTGGGGACCCACCTCTCCCCAAGTGAGACCCTTGGTATACCGCACCGGTAAGAGGCCCCAGGCACCTCCCTCTCTTAGCGCGCCCATAGAGGACCTCCCCTCCTCCTCTAGGGTGACCTGCTGGAAGAGAACCAGGGGAAGACCCACCTACCTTTTCCCTCCTGCATTCTCTTCCAGTCGCATTTCAGCTCTATGACCTGGACCGGGACGGAAAGATCTCCCGGCACGAGATGCTACAGGTTGGAAGGACGCAAGGACCAGAGACGTGATGTGTGGAGCGTGGGTGGTCGAAGGGAAAGGTTGCGGGGGGAGGGGGGCGGTGCAGATGACTGGGGTATTGAGTGAGAAACAGGGATTGGGTGAGGTCTGTGGAAATGGGATGGGGAAGAGTTGGGTCTGAGGTTGGAAATAGATCAGTGGTTCTTTTTAAAAGTTTATTTATTTATTTATTTTGAGAGAGAGAGAGAGAGAGAGCCCGCATGCACAAGTGTGATTGGAGTAGGGGCAGAAAGAGAGAAAGAGAGAGTCCCAAGCAGGCTTCGCACTGTCAGAGCAGAGCTCAAGGCAGGGCTTGATCTCACCAACCATGAGATCATGACTTGAGCCCAGACTAAGAGTCCGTGGCTTAACCCCAGCTGAGCCACCCAGACGACCCAGTAGATCAGTGGTTCTTGAATGGGGGCGATCTTGCCTTTTGAGTGACCTTGGCAATATCTAGAGATATTTTTGGTCGTCACACCCGGGGGCGGGGCAGCACTACTGCCATCTAGTGGGTAGAGGTCAAAAATGCTGCTAAACATCTTTCAATACACAGGATAGCCCCCATTTCCCCCCACAGCAAGGAGTTAACTGGCCCCAAATGTCAACAGTGCTGAGATTCAGAAACTCTGGAATAGATGTTGTGAGGGGGTGGGTGGGTAGAAGGGAGAATAGTGGGAGGTTGTGGTGGGGGATGGGAGGAGGTTGGGTTCTAAGGCTTGGGGTTGGGTGATGAGTTTGGGTATACTACTGAGGTGAGTGTGGGATAGTGAGGGACAGGTCGGGGTTTGAGTGGAGAAGCAGTAGGGGAAATTACTGGGGAGAGATGGTACGGAGTGAAGAAATGGATGAGGGGAAGATTACAAAATTGGTAGTAACATTTGGGATGATGCGGGCAAGGTTTGAGGGATGGGGCTGACTCCTCTCGTGCCCTCCGCACCTCCCAGGTCCTCCGACTGATGGTTGGGGTGCAGGTGACAGAAGAGCAGTTGGAGAGCATCGCTGATCGCACGGTGCAGGAAGCGGATGAAGATGGAGATGGGGCTGTGTCCTTCCTGGAGTTCACCAAGGTCACAATACCCTCAGGCCTGGGGAGTGGATGTCAGGAGTCCCTGGGACAGATGCAAATGGAAAAGGCAGTTAGAAGAGGTGGGCAGAAGGAGAGGGGTAGCCAAGGAAGGGTGTAGCTTTGGGGATGGGAGAGGGAGTTGAAAGCCTAGAGGACTGGGCTCTTGACCACCACCCATCCCCCCCACTCCCCCCACAGTCCTTGGAGAAGATGGACATCGAACAGAAAATGAGCATACGGATCCTGAAGTGACCCCCTTTGTGCCTTTGGCTGCCTTACACAGACCAGTTCAGCCCGGGATTTGTCTTCAGCCCCTGTAGAGGCAGGGCCCCAATAAACTATTCTTGTGTCTAAGCTAAACTCTCTTTGGGGCCAAGGAAGGCAAGCTGGAAGCGTGTGTACCGAATAAAGTCTAGCTCATTTGATGTCAGATTTGTGAATCAGCCAGTGATCTTGTGGTTGCAAGCCACTGAAAACCCAATTTAACGTGAGTTAATTAAAAAAGGGATTTTAGGGGCGCCTGGGTGGTGCAGTCGGTTAAGCGTCCGACTTCAGCCAGGTCACGATCTCACGGTCTGTGAGTTCAAGCCCCGCGTCGGGCTCTGGGCTGATGGCTCAGAGCCTGGAGCCTGTTTCTGATTCTGTGTCTCCCTCTCTCTGCCCCTCCCCCGTTCATGCTCTGTCTCTCTCTGTCCCAAAAATAAATAAACGTTGAAAAAAAAAATTTAAAAAAGGGATTTTATGGACTCACGTAATTAAAAGGTTTGAAAGTATCTTCAGAATACTGGAAAAGTCTGGAGGTGTCTTCAGGCACAGTTAGTGTCAAAGGGCTTCTGTCATGCTATCAGGACTCAGTTATTAATTTTTCAATCAGCTTTAGTGTTGGCTTTATTCTCAGGGGCCTCTTTCCTCATGGGGGAGGATGGCCACCAGCAGCTCCAGGCTCCCATCCTACTGGCCTAGTAATCCAGTGGGAAGGGATTTCCTTTTTCAGTAATTCTAAGCAGAGTGTCATTGGCCTACGTGCATTCTTGTCCCTAATGCCAGGGAAATGGAGTGCTCGAACTGGCCTGGCCTGTGTCATGGGCTAACTGCTAAAGCCAGAAAATAAAGCCTGTAGACTCAGGGTGAGGTAAGGAGTAGTTGCTTAAAGGAAAATGAAGTGTCATGATCAGAAGAAGGGGGGATGATGCCAGTCAGGCAAAACAAGAGATGTCCATTACTGTTAGGTTGACCCAATGGAGGGATTCTTGAAGTCTACTTTTTAAATGGGTTTTCACTGATTCCGTGGGTGCATGCCAGTGTGTTGGTGGCAGGCAGGTGGGGGAAGAGATGGTGTAAATGTAATGAACAACACATACCTTCCTGGGGCGTGAAATTATGCAGATTTGGAGAAGAATTCCATTTTTTCATGACAAGTTCCAATACTGATATATCACAGAATAGAGTACAAAAATCACATAAAACTGTGAGATTCTGGGGTGCCTGGGTGGCTCACTTGGTTGAGCATACCAGTCCTGATTTTGACTCAGGTCATGACCCCAGGGTCATGGGATGGAGCCCTGCACTGGGCTCCATGCTGAGCATGGAGTCAACTTAAGATTCTCTTTCTTCCCATATGCTCCTCTCTCCTGCTCTCTCTCTCTCTCTCTCTAAAAAAACAAACAAAATAAAAAAAAAAAAACCACCTGTGAGATTCTATGCTATAGCAAAGCACTCTGGCTGTACCTATAGGAGATGCTATTGGTGCCCTGCCCATATCTCCTTCCAGGGCTGTGCTGGACTTGTCTTGTATCAACACATGAGAGTCAACCATGCGTATGGCTTCCAACTCTGCTTTCAGTAACATCACATTGGTAGCTTGAATTGGCTGTAGTGGGGATATTTACAGCATGGACATTGGCAAATGCAACAGGTCAGTGCTTTTCTGCTGAGGAGAGCCCACTGTTAAACATTTATCAGCACACCACCTGCTCGGCTTTCACCATTACGGAACATGTTAGTGGCTTCTATTTTTACATCAGCTTTATTGAATTGTACTTGGTGTACAAAAAACCGCACAAAATTAATGTATACAATTTGATGAATTTGGACATAGGTATACACTCAAATTACTATCACCACAATCAAGATAATAAACATCCATCATCTGCAAAATTTCCTTGTATCACTTGTGGTGTGTGTGTGTGTGTGTGTGTGTGTGTGTGTGTGTGTAGTGTGGTTAGAACACTTAACATGAAATCTACCGGCTTAACAAGTTTTGAATTGTATAACACCATATCGTTACCTATAGGCACAGTGCTGTATGGAAGATCTCTGGGACTTTACTCATCTTGGATAACTGTAACTTTATACCTGTTGAACAACAGCTTGTCTCCTGCTCCTTGCCCACCCCTTGATGATGACCATTCTATTGTCTACTTCTAAGCTTTTGACTCTGAGATGCCTCATATGAGAGGAATCGTATGGTATTTCTTTCTGTGATTCACTTGTTTCACTGAGCGTAATACCCTCTAGGCTCATCCACATTGTCACGAATGATAGAATGTCTTTCTTTTTTGGGACCAAATAATATTCCATTGTGTGCGTATGTTACATTTTCTTTATCCACTTATCTATGTCAATGGACATTTGGGTTGCTAATAATCCTGCATTGAACATGGGAGTCCACTTATCTCTTCGAGATAGTGATTTCATTTCCTTTGGATACATACCCAAAAGTGGGGTTGGTGGATCCTATGGTAGCTTTATTTTTTAATTTTTTGAGGAAGCCCAATGGCTTCTTCCTACAAGCACAGATGATACTCTGCTCATGGACTTTGTCTGGCACAGGCATGTACTTAGCTTGTGTGAGGGCAAGTTGAAGTGCTGGGGAGTTAATGGCCCTAGGAGTGGCTCTCAACCAATGACAGGTAGAGAATGGCAGATAAATACCCAGTTTATCCACCGGTGAGGCTGGACAGTTTAGAGACATGTTCTTTTCACTCTTGAAATCCTCTAGCAGGTTTGAGCCCGGTTACCCACAGCGTGGGGCTGCTTGTTAAAGAACCCTGTATTGTCTCCTTTCCTCTGGTCTCATCCCCACTCTTTGTCCACTGCTTCCTGGATTCTCTCACAGATAAACAATTTGCCCTCCAATCTACAGGGCATTTCTGGGGAAACCCAACTGAGGATGTCCAAGACCATCCATAACACACATTCACACTGTGGTTGTAGGCACTCAGGGCACACTTTATTTTAAACTTAAAAGAAATAGAGAAATAGAGGGAAAATGGGGTGAGCAGAGGGAAAAGGGATATGGAAGGGGGAGAGGTATACTTTTTTTTTTTTAAGTATATTTACTTATTTTGAGAGAGAGAGAGAGAGAGAGAGAGCGAATGAGCACAAGCAGGGGAGGGTCAGAGAGAGAGGAGAGAGAGAGAATCCCAAGCAGTCTGTGTGCTGTCAGTGCAGAGCCTAACATGGGGCTCAATCCCATGAACTGGAGATCACGACCTGAGCCAAAGTCAAGAGTCATTCACTTAACCGACTGAGCCACCAGGCACCCCAAGGTATCTTTCTCTCTCTTTTTTTTTAATGTTTATTTATTTTTGAGAGAAAGAGAGAGACAAAGTGCAAGCAGGGGAAGGGTAGAGAGAGAGGGAGACACAGAACCCAAAGCAGGCTCCAGGCTCTGAGCTGTCAGCATAGAGCCTGACATGGGGCTCAAACTCACAAACCATGAGATCACGACCTGAGCTGAAGTTGGCCACTTAACCAACTGAGCCACCCAGGCACCCCAAGATATCTTTCTTTATAACTGGTCTTTTTGCCAGTATAGTTTCTCAAATTTTCCTGATGGTAAATATCTGATTAAAAAGTTTAGACCCTTAGGCCCCATTGAGAGGTCCTGAGTCCATAGGGAGATCTATATTTTTAGTACGTGATTCTGATGGAGTTTGAAGGACCAAACTTTAGAAACACTAAAGCTTCTGGCCAGACTCCTAGTGACAGCTCTCTATAAAAAGTTCTCCAACATCCAGGGGTGCCTGGGTGGCTTGGTTGGTTAAGCGTCTGACTGGCACGGGTCATGATCTCGAGGTGCTTTGGATTCTGTGTCCCCCTGGGAAGGCCTCCCAGGAAGGTCTCCCAGCCATTCCTGCCCACACGTGCTCTGTGCTGATGGTCAGTGCTACTGACCTACGAAGGGTTCCTGGAGGATCCAGTACTAGGGGATCCCCAGGACTCTCCTCCCTATTTTGGTGGATGGAAGAGCAGATTAGCAAGAAAGCCTCCTGACCCAGCACACGCTCAGGAGGTTGGAGACTTTTGTCATGTGGGAAGGAAGGGGGATGTCCGTCTGGCTGGGGTAGCACAAGGTTACCTTCCTGTCTTGATAACCACTCTGACGGAGTTGCCTGTGGATATGTTCATTGAAGTGGAGAGGGGAGGCTAGGGACCCCTGTGGGGAGCCCCTGGGCTCTCAGCAGCAGTTGCTGAATTTAAGTGATTTGTTTCCCACCCTCATTATTGTTGCCATACAGTACCTAGTCTCTGTCATTATTCACCTATTATTTGCCTTTGAACAGATTCATTTAAAATGGATACATTTGGGGCGCCTGGGTGGCTCCGTCAGCTAAGCATCCGAATTTGACTTCAGCTCAGGCCGTGATCTCACAGTTCATGGGTTCGAACCTCGCTTCAGGCTCCATGCTGGCAGTGCTGATCTTGCCTGGGATTCTCTCTCCCTGCCCTTCCTCTGCCCACACACACACACACTCTCTCTCTCCAAATAAATAAATAGACTTAAAAAAATAAAAGTAAAAAAAGTAAAACATCACTGCCATAAATTAGACACCAGCACCAATTGCCATAAGTAAAATAACTGTACAAAGGCAGTAGATACAAAGAACCCCCCAAAAATGTCAGAAAGAGATTAGCACATGCTGAAGAGTTATAAAAACAAATCGACAACAAACAGAGCTTCTCTTCCTTGATCTGAAAGACGGAAAAATAATTGAGAGGGAAATGGCCTTCTCACCGTGTGATTCAGTGATGCTATTTAAAGCTGCAAGCTTCCTCTCAAAAATCATCCTGGGTACATGAGTTGTGTGTTCCCCACCCTGTGGAACCACTGGCTGAGGGGCTCTATGAAGAGGCAGCCGCCAGTGGGCTAGACACCCTGCCCTCAGGCCGGCTGCTGGTCAGATTGGACTTGGTAGAGGTTGGCTGTGGAGATGGAGTCCACTGACTAGATTGGATCCAGGGAAAAGCAGCAAGGTGTTATGATAAAGAGCTGGAGATGTTGTGAGCAATGGCTTTCTGCTGGCAGGGTCCTAGACGTGTGCTTGGGAGCCTCACTTGAGAGGGGCCTCCCAGAGGGGTGTGGCACAGCCACTGGAGCTGTCCTAGCTTGTTCCACCAGGGCTACTTTGAAGGGCTTCAGCTGACCTGGAATTTTCTGGATCCATGTACATAGCCATTTGCATGTCCTGAAGAAAAGATGGAAGTTATGGAGGGAAGCTCCTTTCCTTGCCAAGGTGACGGAACCTGAGACAGGGTGTAGGGAGCCCTGGGGAGGACGGCAAGGAGAAGGACCTCAGTAGTGATGTTGCATAGACCTAATTATGGCTGCCATTGCCTCTTCTTAACTGATCTGGAAAATAGTTAAGAGAAGAACCATGAACTTGACTCTCAAATACAAGGAAACTCTGGGTTGTCCTCAGCCCCACCCAGCCAACAGCAATAAAACTCTCTTGATGTTTGAGAGGCAATATACAGGCTTGATTTCTGGTTATAGACCTACCCTGTGAATCAGTATGGCTCAGTTGAACAAGACTTCAGTTTGGGAGTTTTATTAGGCCTGAGATAGAATCTGCATGCTTCTAATTACTCATTGTACAACCTTGGGTAAGTCGCTTTGCCCTTCAGGGCCTCACCTTCTATTATCTATGAAACAGATGTTAGCAGCTACCTCTTGGAATTGTCTTGCTTTGTCCTTCTGGTAGCTGGCTGCCCTTCCCCCAACACTTCAGCTGAGGCCCTTTGGCCCTGTCTGTGAACGAGGACTATGGTCCGTATCAGTCAGGATTCTTCCCATTGTTAACCGGTTTATGAAAGAATAGGAATTTGTTGGTTCATATAACTGAAAGAAATGTCCAAAGATAAACCAGACAAAGGAGAGTCTCAAAAGCTCAAAGATATATATCATCGGAAACTAGTCTTTCCATTCCTCACCTCTTTTTCCGGTGTTGGTTTAATTCCTAAGCAGGAACCCCAATGAAAAGAGAGCTTCTCTTCCCAGGCAGTCCTGCCCAATGTCTCAGAAGGGAATCTCAGCCTACTCACTGTAGGTAGGTGGGTGGGCCACTCTAGTTAGCCAGACTTGGTCACGTGCTCACCCCAGGAACTGGAGACTGCGAACTCACTTGGACCAATTGCAGTGTATGTGTGTGTGTGTGTGTGTGTGTGTATTCCCTAAAGGAAAATCAGAATGCAGTTGCCAGAAGAGGGCCACATGCTGGGCAGGCAGAATCAACAAATAACTATATAAGAGTTAGGGGGTTCTTTTTGCTACAAATAACAGAATTACCAATTGACCGTGGATGAAACAATTAAGACAATTATGTCACGCGACAAGATGTTTTGAGTGGTTGGCAGTCTCAGATTGTTGAGTGGTTCAACAATTTTGTCAAGGAGCCAAGATCTTTCTCTTCTGATTCCTCAGGAAATTGGCTTTTAATTCTCCAGCTTCCAGCTCTGTGCTGACACGGGTGAGCCTGCTTGGGATTCTCTCTCTCAACCTCTCTCTCTACCCCTCCCCTGCTCGTGCAAACTCTCTCTCTCTCTTTCTCAAAAAAAAAAAAAAATTAAATAAGCATTCCAAAAAATTTTTTTTAATGAGTTCTGGGAGGTGGTTGAGGGGATGGGTAAAATAGGTGATGGGGATTAAGGAGGGCTCTTCCTGTGATGAGCGCTGGGTGATGTATAGAAGTGTTGAATCACTAAATTCTACACCTGAAACTAATATTACACTGTATGTTAACTAGAATTTCAATAAAAACTTGAAAAGGAAAAAAATAATAAAAAGTGAATTTTAAGATGAGTCTCACCTTAGCAATTCACATTTGGCATGAAACAATTACTATTATTATTTTTTCTGCAGAAAGCTTTGTTGTTTCCATTTTGGTCCAGGGCGCCAGGGCGGCTGAAAAACCGTCTAGTGGCTGCAGGGAGAGGCTTAGGCACAAGCCCCAGCACCAGAGGGGTGCCAGAGGGGCCCTCAAAGGCTGCGGGCTCCTAGTCCTTCTAGATCAACTTGGGGGCCAGCCAGCCTGCGGAAGTGACATCTCCTTGGTGAGTTTCACCTCCTTATCCAGGAAGTGGGTCTTCAGGAAGTCACAGAGCAGGGGGTGTGCGCTGGCAGATCCAAACGTGCCTGCTTCAGGTTCTTCTCCAGAACCAGGGCGGCCTCCCTGGTGTCCAGGGCTTTACCCCACTCATCCTGCGAGGGCTCCTGAATGCCCGGGAAGAGGGCGAGGCCTCTCGCATGTTATGCATCTTTTAGAGAGCCTTGCGCTCCTTGCCAAATCAGGAGGCAGAGAGCCAGGCCCTGGTGGTGGAAACAGAAGCCCAGAGAGAAGTTGGAGTAGGAGGCTCACAAGTGCGTGTCCACCAGCCAGTTGACGCGGCTTACACCTCGGTGGAATAATTCTGATGAATGTGGGAGCTCGTGGTTGATCTGTAATAAGATGCTCAGCTCAGAATAGGGCGTTGGCTGGTCCCGGAGACAGAGGGTGGCCGAGAAGATGGCTCTGAAGGTTGTGACTGGAAAAAATGGAGAGTGGTTGCAGGCTGGTAGAAGGGGTGTCCCAGGGTCTGTTCCCTCCAAACACTGTTGAAGCAAGAGACAGAAACGGGGGACCGCTGTCTGGGCATACCGCCATGAAACACAAATTATTAAAACATAGTTATGTTAAATAGTTAATATTTATCATGAAACCAAAATAATGAAAACACAGTTATGTTAACTATTAAACATAACTATTTTTTAATGTGTATTTATTTTTGAGAGAGACAGAGCATGAGCAGAGGAGGGGCAGAGACAGAGGGAGACACAGAATCCAAAGCAGGCTTCAGGCTCTGAGTGGTCAGCACAGAGCCTGATGTGAGGCTCAAACCCACGAATCACGAGATGGTGACCTGAGCCAAAGTGGTAGGCTTAACCGACTGAGCCACCCAGGTGCCCCTAAACATAACTATTTAACATGACTAATGGTTAACTATTTAACATAACTGTATTTTCATTATTTTGTTTTCACATATTAGCATATGATAACTATTTAACTTATAGTTGCTTAACATATAGGTTAAATAGGGGCGCCTGAGTGGTTCAGTTGGTTAAGCCTCCAATTTCAGCGCAGGTCATGATCTCTTGGCTTGTGGGTTTGAGCCCCACGTTGGGCTCTGACAGCTCAGAGCCTGGAGCCTGCTTTGGATTCTGTGTCCCTCTCTCACTCTGCCCCTCCCCTGTTCATTCATTCTCTCTCTCTCTCTCTCTCTCTCTCTCTCTCTCTCATAAAGAAACATTAAAAATTTTAAATAAAAAAATAAAGGTTAAATAGTTAATATTTATCATGAAACCAAAATAATCAAAACAGTTGGGATACTGTTACAGAAAGATCAATGGGACAAAAAAAGAAAGTAGAAATATATACAAACACACACTCCCAGTACAATATAATTTCACATGTTTATATATGAGATTACCAAATCACATCATAGAATGAAATAAAAATGGCTTAGAAAAAGGATATAAATGAGTACTAATATAATCTTAAGATGCCCAAGGCTTTTCTAAGAATAATCACCAAGGAAAGTATTAATAGTGTTAGCTATATAAAAATTTAACATTTCTGTATCTCCAAAGCACACTGAAAAATATAAAGGCAAAGGACGGACTGGAGAATTATTTGCATTATGTATATCAGACAGAGGGTTAAGATCTTTTACATATAAATAGCTCTTGCAAATCCATTAGAAAAAGATGAGTATCATGCAGGCAAGGATATGAACAAGAAATTTTTAAAAAGAAATACCCCAAGGCATGTAAAAATGTCCAGACTCAATGCTGCTTAAATTCTCACTGAAATCATTATTCTTCTAAGGATCACATTTGGTTTCATAACTTAAAAGCCTTAAAAATGGCCACACTCTTTGATCCAGAACTCCCATTCCTAGGAATTTATCCTAAGTAAATAATTTGACCTACCAGGGGCACCCGGGTGGCTCAGTCAGTTAAATGTTTATTTATTTATTTTGAGAGACAGAGACAGAGAGTGCTCAGGCACGCAGGAGCAAGCAGGGGAGGGGCAGAGAGGGAGAGAGATAATCCCAAGCAGGCTCCATGCATTATCAGCATGGAGCTTGACTTGGGGCTAGATCTCATGAACCAGGAGATCATGACCGGAGCTGGAATCAAGAGTCTGCTGCTTAACCAACTGAGCCACCCAGGCACCCTTGGAATAAGAGATTTATTGTGGGAGCGGGGAATCGGTGGTAACGTAACCAGTATGCTAGCGGGTGGCTTTTTGGAATCTGGTGTTGTGCGTGAAAGTCAGCAGCGTCACCAGCTAGGAAGGAAAAATACCTATGAAGCGGGGAAATGCAAAGATGAGCAGGAGCGCATGAGGACAGCATGGGACATACAAGGACAGACTGGAACATGCATCTGTTACTACCTCCAACTTTGATGATGTGGGTAACTGGCAGGAGAAGCTGGCACCCATTGTGCACATGACCCAGGGTGTGGAGAAGCAGAAAGACACCCACAGTTGTTGGGGCAGTTGGAGGCATGGCTGGGGGCCCACGCCAATGAGATGAACCAGCAGATCAGCTTCCCCGTGTGTGACTGGCAAGAGGGCTGTATGCCAACCTACAGACCATAAAAATGGCTGCTTCTTTGCTTCCAGTTGCCAAACCTTGCACACATTTTGCTCACGGCCAGCTGTAACCCAGACCATAGGGAAGGGAATTCTTAGAAATGTAGTCCTAGCTCAGCTAAATTAAAGCAGATGAAATCACCACAATGGGATTGGTTAAAAATAATCTGATATATTCATAAAATGAGATGGTATTTATCTGTTTAAAATGATGTTGTGGATGAATACTCACTGTCATTGAAAGACAATATGTGTAGCATGACCCTGTCTGTAACGATCTATATTAACATGTAAAGACAAGTGTTCTGGGGCCTGGGTGGCTTAGTTGTTTAAGAGTCCGATTTCGGCTCAGGTCATGATTTCATGGTTCATAGGTTTGAGCCTTGCGTCGGGCTGTGTGCTGACAGCTCAGAGCCCAGAGCCTTATTCGGATTCTGTGTCTCCCTCTCTCTCTGCCCCTTCCCCTGTTCATGCTCTGTTTCTCTCTCTCTCAAAAATGAATAAATATTTTAAAAAATTAAAAAAAATAAGACAAGTGTTCTAAGATGTTAAACTGTTAAAACAAAAACAAAAGTCTAATTGGGTCAACTCCTCTCCTTTAAACTCTGAAATGGTTTCCCACAATTTGTGAGGGGTAACCATTTTGGTAGCGTCCCGGGCCCTCTGTGATACAGATTATGTCTGCAGCCTTCTAGCTCCATCCCATAGTCCTGCG